AATTCATATGTGTACTGAGTTTGAGACCCAACAAAAGCGCAGGATAGGATGTGAATGGAGAGCTGTGCACAACCTGAGTGCCTTTTCTTACAGGGCACCTACTGCCAAGGATGGACAGCAAGAGCAGATGGTGGAGAACGTGAGGTGGAAGCAGAGATGGGAGGGGAACTTCTGTTTTTTTGGGGGAAATCCTGGCACTCATGGCTGCAGGGAGCTGCAGGTTTGTCACTGGACAACACAGTCTGGAGGGAATGTGCAAATCCCACTGTGGTGCTCCCCAGGGCATGCTGGCGAGATCCTGAGCTGGCGTTGGGACAGCAGAGGAGTGTGTTGGAGAGCTTCCCGTTGGAGCTGTTCATGAACAGGTATCTTGGTGTGGACAGCATCAGATAAAGCCCAGGCAGGATTTGCAGAGGCAACGGCAGGCAATAATCCTGCTGTGGGAGTGGGTGGGAGTCAACCCAGTTCTGCTCTGGACAGCCTTCACCAGGATGGTCCTGGGAGCAGATCTCACTGGTGGGTGCTTGTGAAGCAAGGAGCTGATGTGCTTAGAGGGTTCCTAGGGATGCTGCAGAGCCTTTTCTCCCTGGGCTCTGAAATCACTTCCAGGCCAGTAGCCAAGGACAAGCTGTAAATACCAAATGGTGGCTGATGATCCCATCCCATTTTGCTCTGAGATGTTGTCAGCTCTGGGCTTTCCCTTGGCATCTGCTCTCCAGTGCTTTGCGTTCCCATCCTCTGCTCCCAGTGCTGTTGTGGCATCTGACTGTCCCCTGCCTTGGCGTTGGTGTGGGGGAATCACTGCTGTGGTGGCCTCCACGGGGACATAATGAGGAAAAGCTGATGGACCCAGGCTCTGTGGTCAGGGGTTGTGTCTTCTTCTGGGGCTTCCCTAGTCCCTGCTGGTTTGAGAAGGGCTAGAGAGAAGGTCAGAGGAGAAATGTCTGAGATTATCCTCTGTCTTGGCACTCCAACATGGGCAACTTGGAAGGCAGATCCTGTGGATTTACCTGAGGTTACCCACAACTACACAGGAAAAGTCATCTAGTGGGTATCCAGACTTCATCCTGTCACTAAACATTCCCACCGCATCAGCTATCCAAACTGGGGTTGCTGTCTGTCACACTGCCTCTTTTTTTTTTCTCTCACCATTGAGGAAATTCTAAACCCCTTTTATTTTATTGCTCTGTGAGATGATGCTGTAGCAATTAGGCAACACAGCTGAGCCCAAGGCCCTTTTGAAACCCCAGCCTAGATGAGTATCACATAGGCAGCAGTATTTATCCAGGATCAAAATAATACCATGCAAACACTGAAATATTAGGAGACGTGCCTACTGCAAGCACATGTCCTACTGTCCCGACCTCATAAGTTTAGCCAGCCTCTTTACATCAGGAACCTTGCACTGGGAACATCTGGATTGGTGCGGCAAGGGTAAGTGTTTCAAGGAAAACACCCAGCATGCAAGCAAGAGGTGCGGGCTGGAGCCACATGTCAGCACTATCACCCTTGTCCTTCCCCATCCCACCACCTCGTTGTGCTCATTCCTTGCCTTTTCATTACACAAGTGTTTGTTTTGGGAAGGGACTTGCCTGCACCTTTTTGTTTGCTCCGCAAAACATGCGGCACATCTTGTTTCGGGTCTATATGCAGAAACATCTTACCATCTCCTTCAGCGTGGCCCTCCTCCATGTTAAGCATGTGTCTTTTCTTAGGGGCTGGTGCTGCTGGTTTGGTGATGGCCCTCGCTGTCACCCTCCCCGACCCTCTGGCACCCATCTCACAGCTGTCTGGGAACAGGCGGCGAGGTTTTGCGGTGGCTCTGGGGCACACGGCATTCTTTCCACGGGCTTTGTTATCGCTGAATTAAATTTACAGCTCAGCCCTGTGCCGTGGCTGGCTGCCCAGGTTTCGCTCCATGTGTTTATTCGTTTTAGAAAGACCTGAGCTCCAGCCTATAAAAATGAGGAAAAGAGCTCCAGATCAGCTCTTTTTGTGCCTCGTTAGTGTTGTTTGGTGCCTGACCCCACTGTTTTATCCACCAGGCTGTGGTGCCATAGCTTGCATGTATCCATGTCTGCTATCCTGCCTGTGTGTCCTCGGGGGTTGCCCCTTGGAGCTTCCTTCTGCCCAGGCCACTCTGCTGTCCACCCTGGCTCTTCACAGGATGGGCTGAGCCAAAACTGCCTAGTCCTCAGAAACACTTGGAAAAATAATTGAATTGTCCTTTAACAACTCTTTTTTAACCCTTTTGTAGTGATTTTTGCTGTATGTTAGCCTCATAAGCTACATTTTAAAACAGTTCTGCTACAGGGGTTAAAAACTCCACAAACAGTGAGTCAGAACAGGCACTTGAAGAGACATGGACTATCTCAGCTTGTCAAAATAAACATTCCGTTTAAGCACAGAGTGTGCCACTGTCTGAAAGCTCATAATTTAAAACAAGACATTTTTTGGTTTGACTTTTCTCGATCATAAAGCCGAGTGTGTGTATAGCTTAGGTACGGAACAGTGTAACCTTACAGCAATACAATTGCGGTGAAACCTTTTTGGTATGGAAACTTTTTTTTTTCTCTGAAAACATGTCAGGCTGTCTCTATTTATAAACTTCGGGAAGAGCCTGGGCTGCCCATCGGCCGATCGTCCCTGTATGCCACTGCCGGGCCATTGAGTGGTGCATGGTGGGGTGTCCCGGCTGGGTGTGCTGGGGTGTCCCCTGCAGGGGGGACGGCTGGCTGTTTCCAGAGAGCACGGTTCATGCAGGGGAAGTGAACAGAGCCCCAGTGCCCACCCTTGGGATGCAAGGAAAGCCAGTTATTGCCAGAAGGCATTAGCGCAAGTGCTGGGCTGGGGCCGGGTAGGGGGAGCGTGGGGAAGGCAAAGCCGTGCATCAGTCGTTTTCCCACAGCGTGAGTGGGAAAGCAAATTTCTGACGCTTCGCACACCTGGAGCTCATCCGGACGGAGGCTGCGGGAGCAGTGGCTGTGGTGCAAGTTCCTGCGCTTGGGAGCCTAAGGGCTGGGGCTCAGTTCAGAAACTGCTGAAAATGCACTTTTCCTCTCTCCTTCTGTCCCTACAACTCGAGCAGAAGATAATCTGAAGCAGCATGTTTCTTTAAATTTTCTCATTTATTTCTAACTCAGAGCTCCAAGACTTTTGGTTTTAATTTCCACCAGGAGCTCATAGTGGGACCCTGGGAGAAATGCAGGCAGCTCTGTCCCCACATATCCCCATCTCCAAACACCCAAATTTGGCATGCTTTTCTGATGAGGGCCCTGGGTGCTGCAGCTGGACATCTGAACCCTAACAAACCCTGGTGTTTCCTTGATATGCGTAGTGGCTTGGTCACAAAGAGCCAACCCTCTGTAGGTGAGAGGAGAAAAGAGAAAAAATCTATTCCTAATTTGAAAAAGAAAAGAAAATAATATGCACTGAGAGGTAAGGGCCAGGCTTTCCACCTGTTTAGGAACAGGAGGTGTGTGTGATATGGGCAGGTTTGTGCATCCCACCTGGAGCACCTTGCCTTCTTCCTCCTCAGTGCTCCTGGCTTGGCTGAACTTGGGCAGGGGTGACCAGGGGCTGCTGTGCCCTCCAGGGACCCCTGGTGAACAGGGCCGTGGGGGTGCCAAGGATTTATTGGCCTCTACTTCTTCACGTGTGAAACAGTTCATAAAGCATCTAAGGAATAAGGTTTGGCATAATTTTGTGGACCAGGCTTTCCACATCTGCAAACTAAATAGCTTCACTCTTTAACAGAAACATATTCTGCCTTGGCAGCCCTCCCAACTTGTCCCTGCCTGTTTTGAGGGCAACTGAGTCACCCCAATTCCCCACCTTAGGACTGCTGTGTCCACCATGCATGAGGGCCTCTCGACCTCTAAGTATGGATGTCTTATGCAAAAGCAGGATGCAGGATGGTTGCTCCGTCTCTGCTCCTCCTTCCTTGCAGGCTGCTGTTCAGAGCTTGCCACAGACCAGTCTCAGATATGCTGTAGTATGGGAGTTTGTTCCTTTGACAGTGATGGACCTTCAGGGCAGCTTTGTCAGCAGGACCTTCCTACCATCCTATCCTGGCTGTATGCTAAGCAAGATTGCATTTTACCACTTTCACTATCTAATCATAATTATGGTAACTGTTGCACTAGGCAAAGTTAGTGCAAAGTAAAATTTGAGATAGAAATCTCTGCTTTTGTGCTATGTAACTCTTAAAGGACTAATAATATCTAAGTGAAAACAAGCTGGTTTTACAAAAAGCCTTGTACCTAAAATACTAATACCAATGATCTGATTTTCCAAGGTCTGCTTGAATGCTTCTCCCTTTCTGGGTGATTTTTTTTCTTGGATTTTCTGCTTCAGAGTTTCCCATGGACAGACGTCTTCCTGAGTAGGCTCAGTCTAATCTTGCCAGCCATTCCAGTGAAGGCTTTGCTATGGCCATGGAGGGCCAGGCAGCACTACAGGACAGCAGTGCCATCCCTGGTAGCTGCTCTGCATCAAGATTTAAATAACACATGCAAGAAATACAGGTGATGTCCATCATTTCTAGCCTTCGTGCTTTTATTTCTGTACTTGAGCACAGGGTGTGATTATACTGACCAAGGAGAAGCTACAGAAGGTCAGTGTTACACCAGGGAGCCCAGTGGGAAAGGAAAAAAAAAACCAAGAAAAAAAAGCAGGGGGGGAAATAATCAGTTCTCATTCCCACAGCACTGCCCAATCACCAAGATAGCACACAGCAGGACAACGCTGCACTGATTTTCTTCCCAGTCTCAGTTTTCTGCCCTAAACCCCTTAATCACTCAAGTCTTGCACCTCAAACACAAAGCCAGGTAGGCTCCATGGCTATAGCAAAGCCTTCACCGATTCCAGCCGTGGTCTTTGACTCCAGAGAGCATCTTTGGTGTCACTGAAGGTGTTTTTCTCTCTAACCCTTCCCAGAGAGGGTTGAAGCCAGGAGGTAACTGGCTGTGCTCTCATGGTGTCTGTTTCTTGTGTTCCAGAGCATGCCCTGCCCTTGGCCAACCTGGGTCTGCCCAGACACCTCATCCAGCACCACCGTGCGTCGCCTGCCTACGTCACATACGTGTCCCCCATGGTCAGGATGCTCGTTGAGCAGGATCAGCGCAGAAGGGATGCATCAACCTGCCCAGCAAAGGCAGAGTCAAATGGAGAGTCTCAGGAAGATGGTTCTGAGGAGGAAACCCAAGTGCTGTCAGAACTGAGTGGAAGTAGCAGCACCATCTTGACTGGGAGGAGCTTGGTAAAAACATCCCTGGCTGAGAGCAGTTTGCCATCACCAAAGATTTGCAACAGGGTTATTTTTGCAAGAAAACCTCCCTTGCGTGTGCTACCCCGTAGTTCCCTGGCACGTTCCAGCAAGTAGAGATCGGTCTGCAGCTAGAAACAAAAGAAAAAGAAGATGCTCTCAAGTGTTTTCCAGAGTGCATTAAACAACAGATGCAAATGGCATTTAACTTTTTGACTCTTCCTACAAGCCCCATTTGAATGGAAGCAGACAAGCCCAAGAGGTGGTAGTATTGCATTCTGGGGTCTGAAGAAAACCAGAACCTCTTCCTATTGGACTCACTTCACATGCATCACTAGCCATTTGCTGCTTTGACCCACAAAGGGTGCAGTGCAGAGGCACAGCATGGAGCCGCAGATGCCTGCATGCCCACGCAGCCCAGCACACACACAGAGCCTGGTTCTTTGCTCTCCGGTGCCCTGTGACCCCACTGGCAGCAGTGCTGGGTGCCAGCAGTTGCGGCAGGGATTTGGGATTTACCCCCAGGGTAACAGCCTCTGAGGACCCGAGATGTTGGGTGATGGGAGGAAAAAGTGCACTGAGAGTCAGCTGAGGGAGCTGGGTCTCTTTAGTTTGCAGAAGAGGAGACTGAGGGGAGACCTCATTCATGTTTATAAATATTTAAAGGGTGAGTGTCACGAGGATGGAGCCAGGCTCTTCTCGGTGACAAACAATGACAGGACAAGGGGCAATGGGCACAAGCTGGAACACAGGAGGTTCCACTTCAATTTGAGAAGAAACTTCTTCTCAGTGAGGGTGACAGAGCCCTGGCCCAGGCTGCCCAGAGAGGTTGTGGAGTCTCCTTCTCTGCAGACATTCAAAACCCGCCTGGACGCCTTCCTGTGTAACCTCATCTGGGTGTTCCTGCTCCGGCAGGGGGATTGGACTGGATGAGCTTTTGAGGTCCCTTCCAATCCCTAATGTTCTGTGATTCTGTGATTCTGTGTGATTCCCTCTCCTCGAAGTTGTGTGTTGCTGAAAGAGCACAGACTGGAAGGGCAGGGTGTTTACAATGAGCATTTTCTTGTGGTTTTATCCCTTTTCCCCAGCCTGTCTGTCCTTAGGGCGTGAGGTCTGTTCAAGTTGCATTTACCAGGCTCTGCGTATGTCTATGTACACATTGATGCATGTGACGCTTTTACGCACCCAAGTCACTGAGAAGAAAAGCTGTGCAGCAGCAAGGCTGAGCAGTCAGCTGGTAGATGGGCTGCCACTCCTTTCTCACTTTTATAGAGAGCAGAGATGCTAAGGTCAAAAATCCTGATGTTTTTGCAAGCCCGTACCCTTATGTGACACTGGAAAGTGCATACTTAGGGCCTCCAGCTGCTGCTGAGTGCCAGCTCAGACCCTAGGTGCTGAGAAGTATTGCCAGATATTTTGCCTTTGCAAAGAGGCATCACCTCACCTCATTCTTTGGCTACAGAGGTGGAATCCAGTTGTTTGGGACCATCCATGACCACTTTCCTTCATTAAGACCTTTCAACTTGTGCACTGGAGCCTGCAGGCACCTCTGATAGTGCGTCCACCTATGTGATGAAAGGTCCACCCCGTGCATCAAGTGAGGCAGGGTTCAGATTGGTCAAAATGCCAAGTGATGTCTCAAAGACTTACACCAGCCTGCGTACCCAAGAGGTGGGTTCTTCTCCAGCATGAGCACTGGCAAAGAGAGTGTCCTACTCTGGCAAATATGGTTGGGAATTTTTGTCATGAAGACAGCAAAATTCATCCCTTCCTGCAAGGGTGATGCCTTCTAATTTCAGATTTAACTTCTGCAAGGGCTGAACTGGTGTCCCATCATTTCAACATTTAATGCATTTGAAACAAGTATTTTCCTTGTGATGGTGAAAAAAAAAAAAGTTGTCAAATTTCTCTTTCCATGAAAATGAAATTTGCTTGAGGAAGCCATTCGCCATGGAAAACTTTGCTAAATTTATAAACAGCTTACCTAATAATGAAGAGTATTTGCTGCTGTGTCTACAGTGCTACTCCCAACTGCTGTTGTCAGCTCATGTGATTTTGGCTGAGATGAGGCCAGTGCCACTTGTCAGCTGACTGCTTTGGGAAACAGTGCTGGGCCTCTGCAGGAAAAGAATGTCAAAAATGAGAAAAAGCAACAAAAAAAGGAGAAATTACTGCTTTCTACAGATGTATAAATAAATTTGTTCCCTGCCCTATTTTGAGCCCTGGTAACTTGCAGCCTGTACACGCATGGATGCAGCACGTCACCAGCCCTGTTTCCAGCAGTGTCTTGCCTGCCAGCCTGTGGCTGTGGTCACAAGCCCTGGAAACTGGGAAGAGATAAATAAACCTCAGCTTCCAGCTCTTCCCTCTGACTTTGCTGTTTGTTGTGAGGGATCCTGGAAAAGGGATGCTGTGATGTTGTGTGCTCATCTCCTCACTGACAGAAATAGTTGGGAGCCTCAGCTGGGGCTGCGTCCTTCCTGCTCGTGTGGAGGGTGGGGCTATGGGTGTTGTCCCCCTGCACCCCCTTGGTCTGGGGGAGCTTTGAGATCCCTTCTAACCCAAACCATACTGTGATTCTGAGACAGACTAGGAACCACTGTCCAAGCTTCTCAGGGTTCCTGGTTTGCTCTGCAATCATTTATCCCCAGTGAGGTGGGTCAAGGCAGTGTTTTTTCTCTGGGTTCACTGTAAGCTGGCTCTGCCTCCGAGAGGACGCTGGAGCGGGCATGAATTGTGTGGTGGTATAAAACTGGGGGATGGTGAGGAGGAAAACACCTTCCTCCTTTCTTCTGGCTGTGCAAGAGGTTTACCAGGGCAGGGATCTTGTTCCTACCTCTGTGTTAAACCGTTTTCACTATTACACCTCCTCCCTCAGGGAATGGCCTCCTTGTTCTGCTGGTGAAAGACTAGAGCAATTTATAGGCTGTTCTGTGGTGAGAAACGGCATAGAAAAAGGCTGAAATTGCCCCTAGAGATCCAGAAATGGTAGCTGAGGTGGCTACAAAAACATTTTTTTTTTCTTTTTGCATATGCAAGTGTTTGCACATGAGCTCAGACGTGTTAGAGTTCACTGTGGGAAGGTGTCCCAGAGCATCCTGGCAACGGTGTCTTTCCAGATGGGGAGCCCAGCCCTGTGATCAGCTCTGGGACTGGTGGAGGTGTCATGGGCTGCTCCTTGCTCTCCAGTGTCCCTCACGAGATACATCAGCTGGTTTTTGTCCCAGTTTCTCTGTCTCTGCAGCAGGGACAATGATATGTAGTCGGGCTGGATTGTGCACGTGAACTGGAGTTCTTGTTAAAACTGCCTTGAAAATGTTCTGGCAGTATGGCTTTCTGCAGCAAAATGGCCAGAGATGTAAAAGTTTCAAGGAATTGAATGATTTTATCATAAAAAATATTTCGAACTGTATTATGTCATTAGTGAAAGTTGAAGTGTTTCTTCTGCATAATTAATTAGATCAGAATGGAAACAAGCAAAACCAAGTGTTGTAAAAAGCACTTGTAGGGAAGAAAAGGGGAAAAAACCCAGACCTCAAAAGAAAAAAACAAATGAAGAAACAAAAAAACCCCACCAAACCAAACATGCTGGCTTTGGTAATTCTTAAAATGAGTTTTTCAGTAACTTCATTTTATGGAAAATTTTTACTTTTCTGTTGTCACTGAGGATTAAAGAACTTCAGAACTGTAAATTCACAGAAGGGTCGTTCTGCTTCAGCTTGTTCTGCCCACTGGCATTAATAAAACACTTTGGTGGCTCTGTTCAGACCAGTTAAAATCCATCACTATTACTTTGGAGCCCCCAAGGCATAGCAACGCATGGCATTGGTGAGCCCAGGGCTGCGATGGAGAAGGGTGCGAGTGGCACTGGGGACACCAAGAGGGCTTATCATGGTGGTGAGCTCTGTCCTCTGGGCATGTGGTGAGGCCAAAACCCATAAAGCACTGGTGTCCTGGGCCCTGTTCTCGGTCCGTACCCTGGCACCGGAGAGCTGGGTAGACAAAGTTTTGCTGCATGATGCTATGGGGATCCCTGCCCACACACAAGATGCCACTAATGCAGAGCATCAACATGATGTTGGATGTGGCATGGAGGGACATCAGCAATCTGAGGATGGAAGGAGTTGTAGGGTGGAATTAGCCCCCCTACATCTGTCAACAGATGTAGCAGCACCTACTTTGTTATTATAATCTACAGCTGGGAGCCCAGGGCTAATTGCAGCTCTAAATGACTTTTATTATGCTGTGGTTGCTCCTTGCCTGCTGCATTGAAACCAGATGCTCAGGTCATTAAGCAGATATAAGCCAGGTGCTGGCTGCCTTATTTAAGCAAAATGTGAGTTGATTTCCTGCAGGAGGGAGTGTGGTTGTATATATGCCAGCACCTGAGAGTGGCATGGGAAGGCTGGGGACAATGGTGGCCATTGTGGCTTGGGGACCCCTAATGAGGCTTTTAGTGCTGCTTTGGGACTTGGCTGATGGACTGACTGGATGCAAAGCTGCTGAGGGTTTCGGGATAGTTACTGTGATCTGAAGCTGTTCCCCTGAGCACATCACCAACATGTTGCTGCTGTACATTGAGAAGAGTGTCTCTGGATGAGACACCTGCACTGCTGAAAGGTGCATGGATCAGACAGCCTGGCACAATGGTGACAAACCCTTGGCAGCACCTGGTGCTGATCCTGGGAGGATGCTGCAGCCCAGCCCCTGGATCAGGTCTGCAGGGCATCTCTGTACCTCTAGCCCAGTATTTTAACATCACAAGCAGAGGTTTTTGTTGGAGGATTTGTTACTGAAAACCTTTAATCTCAGAGTGCTTTACCACAACCATAAGCACAGCAGGTAGAAAATAAAGTGGGTCATGAACAGGGCTAAGAGTTACCCAGCTAACACCAAGGTATTTCTGAAATAGCATTTCTCAGCAATTTTGTGTCTGCATTCACCACTTGACTCATCCCTCATCACGCAGCTGCTTGTGCCAGCAGCAGCTCCAGCCGGGGAAGTGGTTGCTGCCGTCACCCTCTGCGAGTGCTCATGCTGGAGCCCTGGAGGAGCTGAGCCACCGCCAGCCATCACACTTGGTGGTTCCTGGCTGGTGCCAAACGCTGCCAGCAGTGCTCAGCCTGTCTGCACCACCCTGCATGGGCAGAGGGGAGATGCCGCAGCCACTGAGATGATAGAGCTGCCGGTCCCTGCTGCTGTCTCATCTTTTGCAGCTCTTCACGAAGCCTGTGGCAAGTGCCACGGGTGTCGCAGCCTGCTGCAAACTGCCTTATTCTCACTGAGATGTGGGTTTCTTTCCTTAGAGGCAGCTTGGGGTGGGTTCTGTGGCGTTATATGAAATTAAGGGGGAGATTGGAGATAATTACTTGCTATTTGGCTGGGAAGGCTGAACCTGGGTACCTGGGAGCCTCTTGGAGTAGTATCAGATCTCTGGAGAGCCTGGGGCAAAGCTGTGGCAGTCTGGACTGGGGCTTTGCTCACTCATTCTTACTAAAGAGCAGTGGAAGACTTGCCATTTTCATGCAAGAATTCCCTCTCTTCATCTGTACAAAGATGCTTTTCTTCCTTTCCCCAGCATTTATACTGGGTGCAGTTGTGCCACTTTGGGTCTCGGGAATGACTGCATCTCAGTAGGAGCTTGGTATGATGTCAATGTTTCGGGTGGGTGAAGCAGAGGAGGCAAAAATAGACATTTAGACATTTTTCCAGTTATGCCTTTTTGAAAAGGAATATTTATAGCTTGGTGCATAAACACAAGTTCTTTTTGAGAATCCACTACCAATTGTAATGTGGTGCTCAGCCAGCACATTGCCACTGGACCCTCACGCTCTCAGGCTTAGGACCGATCTAGGTGGCTTTGATGTCCTTCCAGCGGGGAGCCTCCATCTCCCCATACCACAACACAGCACTGGAAGCATTTTCTAGTCTAGGCATAAAGCACCCACCAAGACCTTGGGGTGCTGGAGGGCTGGGTCCCTTGCAGGAAGCTGTCCTGGCTCATCTCCAGGCTGTGGGTGCAGCACACTGGAGCATGAGACACACTTTTATAATTAACTGTGAAGCATAATGAGGTCTATGATCAGGATTGTTTTATCAGGTCACTCATTGCTGGGTGCCAAAGGTCCACATCACTGCATTTCCCTTTACCTCTGGTACAGCTGTGGAATTTGGATAGTGGCCTTTAATGCACAGTTTAAAGCACTTTGAGACTTTTTCACAGCAATGCTACCAGAACCACGTCTCGTGGTCTGACCTTGCTTGCAAGGAGTTTTGGGTCTCTGTTCGCATCATGTGTTGTTAAAGCTTTCTAGCTGCTATTTTCTCCACTGTTTCAGCAGGATTGGAAGGTCAGATATACGTGACAGCTGACGACTTTTCAGAGGCCAGCACTGGCTCTTCAAAAACTCTGTTTTTCAGGCAGACTGTCCTACTGGCCCTCTGCAAGAAGCACTGGCTGCTTTTGGCAACGCCCTTCACTGCCTTCAGCTATCTGAGATGCAGAGAGATGATGCCCTGAAGGACTTCACTGTGTGATGCTCACTGAAGTGGCTGTGGTTTATGTTTGTGTTTATGAGTCTGTTGTGATGCTTTGAGCAGCAGCTTGGTGGAGGGTAAATACTGATTTGTGTGGGAGCAGAACTCTCAGGTCTTTCATATGAAGCAGATGTGTGGACAGAAAGGTGGAGCTGATAAAGTCTGGATGCTGTGGGAGTCTCTGCAGGTGGATGGTGTTTCAGGATCAAACTTCTATGATCCAGGGGGATTTAAATTTTGGACCTTAGAGCCTTAAAGGCAGGAAAAATAACCCTGATGAGCAATGGGCTGAAAGCCTGACACTCTGTCATGTTTGCTGTGACATGCGGTTCCAAGGCTATGCCTCCAAAACGTTACCAGGGGTCTTGATCTCATCTTAAACTGCTCCTCACCAAACCTTGGTCTGGTCTCTGGCCTGCTCCCCAAGCTGCTTGAGAACAATAACCTTCATTCCTCTGGCGTCTCACACTCCCCAGTTATGTGCCAGCTCATCAGGTTCCCCACGCGGCGCCGGCGAGCTCTGAGGTTGGCGCTGCCTTCCCCACTCCTGCATCCCTGCCCCAGCAGCAACTGCCTCCGCTGCCTCCCCTGCGGCGTTTTGATTCCTCTCCTCCAAAGTCTGGTGGAGATTGTCCACTGTCCAAGCAGTCCTGCTTGGATTTCCCAAACTGCTCAGGCCTGAGATCTGCATCGAACTGTAAGCTCTGGGTGCAGAGAAACCACCTAGGTGGGTCACAGATGTTATCTGCAGTCCATGGGTACCGAGGGGTAGCTTGGAAATGCAGTTCCACCCTCAAAACCTATCTGCTCCAGTGAAACCAACAAGGTTTTTGCTGTGTTCCTGCTAGTATTCAGAGTCAAGGGTCATCTGGGTGTTGTAGCTTGGATGGCGATCCTGGGAAGAAGAGCCCAAATGCTGTAATTCCAGTCTTTCCAGGCTGATAGTTCTTCTGTTTCTTCTCTCCCTATCGCCATCTTTCAGCTGAGCTTGTTAGCACAGTGAGGACAGGAGCAAAGCATAAAAGCTGGATGAGATTTCCCTGGCTCAAATGTAAGGGCGAATCTCTATGCCTCACTCCCACAAAGCTCCAAGCATAGCCACCTTTAGTCCCTGTCTTCAGTGGGTGGCTTCTGCTTCTTTGAGCCCCACTTTCCTCCTACAGTGGGAATTTTGGGTGTGCAATTTGGGTTGAATAAGAGATTTTTCCACTTTTCTCATAACGGAAATTTCTTCCTAGCTAAATGAAACTGTTAAATGCTTTTTAAAAAGTTTTCTTAATGCACAGTAGATGCTTTCTTAAAGGTGTTACAGTTTCCTGCTAGAAATCTGAAAACCACAAACTGATTTTGGTTTGGTTTTGACCACAAATTTTCAGTTTTTAAATGGATAAATAAAAGACCTCTTCCCAGTCAGCCTGGGGAAGGAGAGCAGGACTTTCTCCTAGATCTTTAGCTGTCCTGATACGAGACTCTGCATTATCTCTTTAGGAAGAAAAGCATTGAAAATAAGTAATGTTTCCTCTAGAAAATGCAGATCATCTGTTCAGCTGAAAGAGCACAGGTTGTGAGCCTGGCCCAGAGCTGCAGCCCTTGCTTGGGGAAAAGCTCCCACTCTAGTACTGTTGCTTTTTCTTTTCAAATAGGGATGGTTAGGTAAGATTCCTGCACATGCAGGAAGAGTGGTGGCAGTTATATTTTAGCCAATGGTCCTCTCCAGATATGACAGACATTCTCTAACAGTCATCAGGAGACCAAATCAGACCTCTTGCTCTCCAAACACAGCTCCCTAAATGCCAGCAAGATACCAAAGCTGTGATGGAGGATGGCACAAAAGGCAGCAGCTGGGAAAAGTCTTTTGATTTGCAGTCAGGGTTGACAATTCTTGTAGGACTCCTACTTTGGGGAGGGGACTGGTTGTGTCCGGACCTCACACGAGGATCTGCCAGCGCCTGGGTAGGATGTGTGGAACGCCAGTTTGCTGAAACTCTTTTGTCATCAAAAGATATCCCCTGTGATGCTGGCATCCTGGGCTCCCTCAGTAGATAGATGACATCCCAGCCACTCACATAAATTAGGTGAGCTCAAGGCAGCCAGAAGACTGGGGAGTTGATCAATAAGTCATGTCCCTGTCTGCCATTGCATCCTACACTTGGTGCTGTGGAACAGAAAAGAGCTTGGTGCATGTCACTGCTGTGCGAGATGCTTTGTCCCTTTGTGGGCTTCCCCTAAGGCTGCGTGCTCTTGTTTGTTTGACTAGGTTGGACCTTGGAGAGTTTATGAAGTGCTTTAAAAAGAGCAAATTATGATCTTGCCTGCAAAATTCATCAGAGGTAGGAAGATATCCAGGCCCTTCTTAGAAGCTGCTGTCTGAAGCCATGGGGGGAGGATTAAAGGGAACAGATCCTGCCACTCTCCATCTACAGCCCTGCACTGCAAGCTCAGTAAATTCATCAAAACAAGGTATAAACTGTGCAGGGGAGCTGCCAGCCCTGGGTATGTGGTCGCAGTAGCAGTGCCTGGGTGCACTGGGATCTCTTTGCGTCTCTACATCAAGGCGGTGAATGTGTGGGCAGCAGCGGCCACTACTAGCAGTGACCTGCCCTGAGAGTTTCTTCTCTCAAAGGGGTCATAGCTGAATTTGGGGTGCCAGCTGGAAGGGTGATGGCCAAGGCAAACCCCTCTCTGATGCTCCCCATGTCACTTCTCTCTATTCTTCTAACCACATGTGGATCCAACAGCACTTTTCCGGGAAGATACTCTAGCAATTAAATTGCCATTGATCTCTCTGAGCTGGAAGTGAACTCTGCTATTAGCTGAGGCTGTTAGCAGGGCCATGGGGAGCACATCGTGTTGGAGCTGAAAAATATGCTCGGGGAACAGAAACTCTCTGTGGCTGCCCCAGGCAATCTGGGCTGCTGGCCAGGCTCCTTCGGGTGGATTAATGGCACAGTACAATGACGATAACAAGAGCTATCCTTTCCAGTGGAGAGCTAATCCACAGCGACCGGGGCTCCAGACTTGCTGATTCACTCCCTGGTGGATAAACAGGCATGCTGTGCACACACTCGTGTCTAGACGAAGCGGGGTGCGCAGGGAAAGGTGCTACTCTGAAAAGCCAGGCAGTTAGCGGTGGGGCCACATGGATGTGCATCAGTGCTTCCACCAGAAGCAGTCCTCCCTGGAGGATCCTGGTGTAATGATGCCTCTATAAAGCCTGGGTGATGCAGGAATTAGAGGAAATCTGTTGTAATGGTGGCCTTGAGACCAGGTGACAGTGGTTGTGGTGTTTTGCCTGTCTCACAGCAGTGTGGTTAGAAAGTGCAGTTCTCTTGGCAAGTGGGAGTGAGCAGCAGTTGTGTTGTTCCCCAGGGAGTGGAGGTTATGGCTTGCTTTGATTGCTATGAGAAAGGCTGGCAGAATCCAGTGTGTGATGCTCCATTTGCACAGGGCTTTGACTGGAGCTTAGCATGGAAAAGTGCATCTTGCTGGGACAGGCTGGTCCGAGTGGAGCCCTGAAGAGCCCCTAGTCAGCAGGACAGGGAGATTTCATAGTCAGTGTGGTGCTTGCAGCCATGGAAACTCTGCTTTCCCCATAAAGGCGCAGTAGGGTGGGTGAAGATTCATGCCTTCTGTCTTTTAAAACCGATTTCCACCCATAAAAGTGGTTTTGTGGTGAAGGCAGTTGGCTGAGGAACCCGAGCCTGATCCTGTCCCTGCAGCAGTCAGTTCCTTCGTCTGGGCTGAGGTGAAGCCAGGCTTCATGGAGGCCGGTGGCATTTGCCCCTGGTGCAGGTGCCTTTGCTGGGATGTGAGCAGAGGCAGCAGCTTGGTGCCTCCTGGGAAAACGGGCAGGCCCAAACTGAGGGAAGTGCTATCAGACTGGGGGTCAGTGTGAAACCATGAGGTACCCCAAAGCCTGAGACACATCCTGGGTGTCATTTCCAATGCCTCTTCATTTCTAGGGCATTCAGAGTAGTATTGGTACAAGAATATAACATCCAACAAAATGCAATTTTTGACCTAAATATGTTTTATGGGAGAAAACCAAAGTAGTTTTAATTAATGCCAAAGCTCAGTGGAATACTCTTCACTGCAGATGGCCATTACTCCTTTGGTGACATTCTTGGTGTGGTCAGGTCATGCTCATCTTGGCTGTGCAGAGCAACTCCAGGTCTCACTTGCCTTTGTGCTGACTTTAGCCTTAAACAGCTTCATTTCCCAAGCTGCTGAGGACCCATCAGCTTTCTGACCCATCCTCTCGCATTGCTGTCTGCGAGAGATTGAGAGGTGGAATTTGAAGTAGGGGCAGAGTCAGTCTTCATGCAGAACTGAACTTCACTCAAAAAATTTGGCCAAACTCTTTTCTTCCAGCATTGCAAATGAGACAGATCAATTATTCTGAAGCAGAAGGTTTTATGGGTTTGATCCTTTGAAGAGAGCTCCTGTGGCTTTGTTCCAGCTTCTCAGTTTGTGTTGCAGCTGATGTGCTCCATGCTGTGGACTCCCTCCGGGATTAAAAGCATCCTGCAGAAGAGCCCAGAGCAAGAGGATTGCAGCTGATGTGTTTGTTTCGGTGTCAACCCCCCTTCCCCCCTTGACCTTGAGCCCAACCCTGAGCTTCCCCAGCTCCATGGGTTAGGCTGGGGTCTGCTTGGTTGGCTCACGTGGAGAAGCAGGGATGTCCCAGGCTGGGGACATCCTGACTGCTGGACACTAATGCTCATGAAATGTTGGCTACACAGTCAGTAAACCCCAGCTGTAGCCCTGTGAAACTAGAAAAAGTGGGTGTAGGAAGAAACAGAGCCTGTGGTTAAGGACAGGACAGAATAGGAAAAAATTGTGTGTAACCTTTCCTTGGCTGCATTTGGCTAGTGAGGGCAGCTTGGTTGCTTCCCTGGTCTTAGGCTGGCATAAATGAATCCTGTTAAAGAAAGCAAAGAGATAACAAGGGCAGAAGGATATCTAACAGAAGATGAAAGAGCAGAGACAAACCCACAAGG